GGGCACTACATGGCTACATGGGTAGTGTTGAATTGCGTGCCTCGTTCAGAATGTTCAATCCGTTCGTACACAAACGGCTTGACAAATGGAAGTTTCTTGAAGGCAACACTGCAGCCACTGCAAGATTCTTTTTTGTGTGCTGCGCGGCTGCGCGAGTTGACTCTCGTGACTAAACGCTGTTGCCACTGCTTGTGTGAAACCATCAAACGATCCAAACGATCCCTTAATATACATTGGACTGGTGGTTCGCGCTGCACAGGGCTCTTATCCAAGGCGGGCCAAAAAGGAGCCGTTTTTGGAGAGGGGCACAGCACCTTGGAAGCTTCATAGTAACAAGGTATTTCAAGGTAGTTCAATGTAGTCAATGATTCAAATGTGCTTGACAAACATTGATACTCAGTAGACGGTAGTGTCCTATGTGTCCTCTCATAAGCAGAGATTCTGGCGCCAGCACTGGGATCCAAACACCGCGTCTCATTGGCCTCTGCTTCTGCCAAACTGACTTTGAAGAGTGTCCGATGACCAGGAAAGGATTGAGCCTGCAAGTGTACTCTGCAGTTCTGGCGGTTTCACTGATTCACCAGAGTTTCTGAGCATGTTGATGCACGCTGGTCATAGGTTCCCAGCGACCCAAGCAACTTTTTCCAAATTTGATTCGATCCATTGAGTAATTGTGAGACTGGTTTGTGCCCTTTCCACTTGCAGGAGAAGCTGGCGGAGGATCTCAAAGAGGAAAACAGTCAATTCCCAGAAGGGCAAAAGTACTCTGGGAAAACACATAAATTACTGAAGCTACTTCATCCTCCTTAGCTATTGGACAGACCCAAAGCTTCTCCGTGCGGGGGCTGTGGACTTACTTAACTTCGGCAACACTTTACACAGCTTCGAATGAAATTGACTCCAGACTTCTCTGGCCCCCTGGATCAAACGAAAGGCCAGAGGCAGAGATAGCATTCGCAAGTGATTCTTGGGAATCGGCCAGGAGTGTGGATAAACAGCTGCAAGATGCTGCAAGCACAGTATTGCACAGTTTTCTTTCAGGGTCCCCCTCTTGGTGGATATAGAAAATATCTTGGCCCTGCTCTCACTGTCAATGCAGAACTGTATCAGAGCTGGTGCTCTCACCATCATTTGACTCAGCATCCTCGTCTTCCTCTTCCTCGTCTTCCTCGTCTTCATCTTCCTCACTCTCGTCCTCAGAGTCACCTTCAGCATCTGTTCCGTCTTCGGCGGTTGCCACATCTTCATATTCCTCTTCTTCATCCTCTTCGTCTTCCATATCAACTGCGTCTTTCATGGCTTCAACCTGAAAAGAGCAAAGGCACAAGCGCTTTGAGTGCTTTGCAAGATGGAAGCACCACGCCTGAAGCACAATCTGTTTACACCACCCCTCAAACATGCAAAGGATGCAACAGGACAGCACTTTCATTTCTGGCCGCCTTGTCCATGCAGAGCAAAAGCTCTGCGACTTCTGGCTTTGAAAATTTCTCGTCATGATCTTCATCGAACTCGAGGAATGCAGCCCGGTGTTGATCTGTCACTTCAGAATCCTGTGTCATATGCTTCAGAATGATGTGTCATGCAGCGCAATCAGAACAACTCAATGTGAACTCCTGTCGCTGTGACTGCTGTGACCGCTGTGACCCACATGGTGATCCGGCCTCTCCATCCTCGTCAAGGAATCGATACCAAGCCCATGACCTTGCCACGGTGAAAGTCAAAAAGTTCTCGGATCGAGCCACAAAAAGTCACATGGCAATGCGAGTACACAAACAAACTGTCCAAAAATCAACAATGCAAACAATTCAAGGGCTACTTTTAGGTTTCTGGACGCATTCATACATATAATGCACCTCCAGAGGGGATTTATTTGGAGCAGCTTCCAATGAAATAAGGAACAGCAGTCTTGAAATTGTGTTTGCGCATTGGTTAAATCATTGGTTTGTGTTTTTTGCATGTTTGATTTTGAATTGTTCCTAGTCTTCAGAATTACTGAGAGAATGAGCTTCCGACTCCGTTCTGTTCAAGGCTCCATCCCTTGACAAGAATGAAGCAGAGTCAGCAGAGTTGCAAACGATACGGAATTGAGGCAATCAGAAAATAATAGTTGTTTCTTGAATTTTCTTGAAGTGCATACAATGCGTCATCCTGAGTCTATGGTTTTTGAGCTTGTGTAGTGCACCGGGGAATCTAAAGTGAATCTGGCCGAGCAGCCCATCATGGTCAAAGTTTGCAAAGGTTGCTTCAAGTTCACGCTGTCTTTCAACATCAGCCTGTGAGAAGCTGAAAATTGCATTGCACAGGGCCAAAAATTAAACGAGTGTTGAACTTGAACCCACCCGTATTGGATTGTCGGTGCTGTCTCAATATATTCTACTCCCACCAAGAAATTTATGGTGCATGTCGACCTTCAAAGCAGGAAAAGTATCCAAGTTGCTGCTAGCATCCTACTGGTTTGCTGGCTTGCTTTGGTTTGGTTTGGGTTGGTGGTTCGCTCTTCGCGACTTTGCACAAGATCGGCCTTGCCTCGCTTTTTCCCAGGAGGTCTCTTACAAACATTTCAGATGAGAGAGACCCTCCAAGCTCTCCATACTCCTGCCAGCTCTCAAGCGGCTGCCACGCTTAGGGTCTAAAAGTGATGGTGCCTCGCAATCCCTTAACTCATGTCATGACCTACAGTATGTGGGAGGGCAAGAATTCAGAGGGAACAGCACAGAGTACTCAGTATCGTTCAAGAAGCATTGAGCTTGACAGGATCCTGGGCTGCACTTGCAAGCACAGTGAGAAGCGGAGGGAGCAATCTTGCCTGCGGCTGTCGAAGCAGAGTAGCTAGAAGCAAAAGGATTGACATCACTCGGCACTCTCGTAGCAAAAGCAACTTGCATTGATTGACCACTTATGTGACTTGTGTATACTTCTCTAAGGCAGGGGAACTAAGGCTTGCACAAACATTCAAGGTTTTGCTCGGTCAAAGGCCAACACGGCCACAGCAAAGGCCTCAGGGCCTGTCAAGGCCAAGGCTGAGGCTCATCGACATCCTTGAGCCGCTTGAGCCTCTAAGCTGCAGCGCCCCAAGTGCCCCAAGAATGTCCAGAACATTGGTTATGCCATGGCCATGCCATGCAATGCCCAGTATCCAAAGAAGGCTTTTCTGCAAAGGTTCAGGAATGCAGCTCGTGTGTCTTGCAAGCCCTTGAGGTATTGCAAGTTTGCATGTAAGTCTATAAGTTTTGTAAGATGAAAACGTGGCAAAATGCTCCACAGTTCTCGCCATCGCAACATGGTGAACCAATGACCGCCTGCCGATTGGTCAGGACCACACGGGCTGCAGTTGGATGACACTCCAGCAAGCAAAAGGGAAGCGCTGACCTTGAGCAGGCGAGAAGCGGCAGAAGTGCGAAAGGCACAATAATTACAGTGTAAGTCAGTATATAGATGTATATAGAATTTATATGAATTTATAGAATGTCTGAATCAATGAATCTCAATGAATCAATGAAATGAACCTGGGGGATCTCGTTGAACAGCCTCCAAACACCGATGGCTGGACAGCTAAGCCGTCCACTGGCCCGGGAAGGCCCTGGGACACATTACTCGACAACTCCGGACTCTGCCTCATCCACTTCAGAGAAAGAATGACCGAGCGCAGCGAGTGTATGACCAAGTGCATGAGAGTGCATCCACTCTATTCTTGCAGAACGCAGAGGGATTGGTTGAAACAAAGTTTGGGTAAGACCTTCAATAGCTTGGTTGGAGATCGCCGTCTAACATCTGTCTTCAATAAGTCACGAACCAAAAATGCATACCCTTGGTCTCGCACCAAATTTCAGGAAATGCTCTTTTAGCTGAGCCTGCATCTTGGCCAAGTCTGTCCTGGTCAGGGTGATGTTCTTTTGAGCTCTTTTGGCTCTACCCTAGCCTACTTATACTTCTGTTGAGATCACAAAAACAAATTGTTCCTGCCAGCCCAATCACGAAGTGGGCCCACATAAACGCGAACCTGGTGTGTCGCAAGTGGTGCTGGGACGCCAATGCACATCACGACACAGGGAAAGCCTGTTTGGAGCACTCTGAGAGGGGCGCAAAGCGGGGCAGGTCGTTGAAAGCTTTATCCCGCTCTGCCTGTCCACAATAGTGCAGTTTGATACAATTCTGCACCCAATGCATGTTCAACCGCGCACTTCAGAAGCCGCGCAAAAAACAGCATGGATTCCAAACAAGGATTGGAGCAGAATGCGCTTGTGTTTACAGACCGTGCTGAAAACATGTTTTCGCTCCTGGGAGCCAAAGGTGACTGTAGCTGTTCCCAACCAACTTCCAAGCTCAGACTGCAGGTGAAAGCTCACCTGACATTGTGAAAAATCAAGCAAAACAAAAAGAACCGGCGGCGGTAAGGTTATGATACACCATGCGATTGTTGGACTTAACACAAGACAACCAAGAAACAATCGGAGCAACCCAAGTGTTATTCTTAGTGGCCCTGCGTGCATGCAATGTACCTGTACGTACAGCATGCCTGTGCTTGCATCTATGTGCTCCGATGTGCTCCGTTTTCTGGTCTGCGTGCGACACGTACCTCTGCACAAGTGCCATGCGCGAAGAAGGCTCCAAGTTCCTGCGTGCCGTGCGCTTTTCACAGTTTTAATGCAAGTTTTTCACAGAGCTCTAAAAACTGAGCCTTGGCTGCTGTCCCTTTCGGGATCTCACTCAGGAAAATCGTCTTTGGGAAAGAAAGCAACCTCAGATTGTCTCAGCGTCGCAAGAAAGGCATTAGGCACCTCACTGACTCCAATTTCTAGGTGTAGGGCTTGAGAGGCTTGGTCGTGGCAGGATGAATTGAAGCCTGTGACAAAGGAACGCAAAGCATCACAAGATGTCACAAGATGTCACAAGATGTACATGATATGATACATAATAAAATATAATACAATACAATACAATATAATATAATATAATATAATATAAATATAAGATAAGATAATATAATATATAATAATATAATATAATATAATATAATATAATATAATATAATATAATATAATATAATATATACATGATTATATATGTATATACACAGCATTCGACAGAATTATTGAAAAAATACAATTGACAGGTGAGTTCCTGTCTATCACGGGAAAATTCTAGACCTTTTGTTTCCATACAGTAATTATGTTTTTCCATAATCATTTTTGTTTCCATAATTCTGTCGGCTGGAACACGTCCATCGATTCGCAGTTCGAATGCATTTTAAGGGGGAATATTGAATTATGGAAAATATGAATGTGTCGAAAAATCACGTATACGGTACGATATACCCCCAGCAATTTCCAGCCTTTTGCCATTGGTTTTAAGCTATTGTCGAACTTATTTCAGCCTTTTTTCCATTGGTTTTCAGCAGTTGATCAACATATTTCAGCATTTTACCAAGGGTGTTCATCATGTGTTCAATCAATGTCATTGTGTTTAGCATTGACTTTCATCAGTTTTTTGATGTTTTAATTATTCTACCATTGGTTTCAAACAATTTCCCAACGTATTTCACCCTTTTACCACCATTGGTTTCAATCAATTGTCAAGCCTGTTCCAGCATTTTTCCATTCGTTTTCACCAATTGATCAACATATTTCAGCATCGTGCCAATCAGTTTTTCAAACCTATTTGAATATGTTTAGCAATGGTTTTCGTCCGTTTTTCCTCCCGTTTTTTCGGAACATTTCAATAGGCGTTCTCTATTTAAAAATGCACTTCTGGGGCTTGATCTGACCGGCTACCCTTTTTTGGATGGTAATTTGTAAAGCATGTGTTCTTCCGGCTCTAGGTTTTTTGATGTTTTTTCCCCGCATCTTTGTGTGGGGTTCTTGTTTTTGATTCTGTGTCCCGCCCGGCCTCCGCCTCCTCCTCCCGCGCTGCCGCCTCACACCATCTTTCACACACAACTTGGTCCCACACCATCTTTCACACACAACTTTGTCACACGCCATCTTTCGCGCACAACTTGGTCACACACCATCTTTCACATACAACTTTGTCACACACCATCTTTCACACACAACGTTGTCACACACTATCTTTCAACTTTCTCACACACTCGTGCAGGCGTGTCACTTATGGCACTGGGTGGCTCTGGTGGCGCGTTTGGGGCCCCTTGGTCGCGCGGTGACGCCGCGGCACTTTGCGTGGCAGGCGACATCTACCGTCGGTTTGCGTGGCAGACGTGGCACTTGGCGACATCTACCGTCGTTTTGGCGACATCAACCTTCGTTTCGCGTGGCAGGCATGGCACATATGGCACTGGGCTGGCTGTGGTGGCACGCTTGCGGCCCCTCGGTCGCGCGGTGACGCCGCGACACTTTGCGTGGCAGGCGTGGCACTTGGCGACATCTACCGTCGTTTCGCGTGGCAGGCCTGGCACTTGGCGACATCTACCGTCGTTTTGGCGACATCGACCTTCGTTTCGCGTGGCAGGCGCGTCACTTATGGCACTGGGCTGGCTCTGGTGGCACGCTTGGGGCCCCTTGGTCGCGCGGTGATGCCGCAGCACTTTGCGTGGCAGGCGTGGCACTTCGACATCTACCGTCGTTTCGCGGAACTTATGGCACTGGGCTGGCTCTGGTGGCGCGCTTGGGGCCCCTTGGTCGCGGGGTGGCACCCTGGCACTTTGCGTGGCAGGCGTGGCACTTGGCGACATCTACCGTCGTTGTGCGTGGCAGGCGTGGCACTTGGCCGTATGTGAGCGCCAATGAACTTGTCGTTTCAGACCTTCCGAATAGTTTTTCTTCACATCTGTCTTTCAGTCCCATTCTTCCCGTGTGATTGCCAGGGGCCCATGAGTTGTCCGGTGTCCCACAAAAAACCGTGGCTTTGATGCTTCACAAGCATTCCGAACACATGGGTTAATTAATGTGCACCCATTGCGTCTGGTACGCAACGGTCGGAAAACTGAACCATCTGTATTGTTTTCGATTAGAACATGCATGAAACAGTGTGACGTGGTGTCTTTGCATTGTGTGTTCTGAACATGATCTGCCTTTACATCGCGCCCAGGTTCCCCTTCCATCTTCTCCATGGGCGGAAGACAAGCAGGGCCCCCACTGATGGGTTGTTAGCTTGATGTGTCATATGATGCTCTCCGATCTTCCTGCAGTAGCCTCATAGCTTTGACCCAACGTGGAAAGAAGCTCTTGCATCGTTTAATTTTGGTCGCTATGCGTGTGTGTGTGCGCTCCTGGGCCATGCAGAGCGACCTATGGTCATCTGTCACCCTGTTGATGGGTGGAAGCACTTGCATCGTTTAGTTGTGCGTCACTGTACATAATCTTTCTCACACATATATAACTGTGTCACACACACATCTTTCACACACAACTTTATCACACACAAAACTCTTCACATACAACTTTTTTAACTTCTCGATCCTCCATCACCTCCTTTGTCTTCCCTTCCTTCCCCGTCCCGCTGCAACTTTTGTTTCTCATTATTGGAAGAAGATGACTTGTGGGG